GGACGCTGGTGGACACCTTTGAGGGCCGCCCACATTGCAACAGGGTCGCTGTCAATGTTGGAGAAATGCACCTTTTGGTCCGCTTCAACCATGAGATACAACCACCCAGCAGCCTTTGCCTCCTCCACCTCCCACTTCTCCAGTAGTGTGGCCTCCGCTTCAGTGGGGGCTTTGGGGTCCTTGGCCTGTGGCTTGAGGTGGGCACCAGAGACAAGGCGCCACAGGCCTGCAGAGCGCAGACAGGCAGCCATGTCCCCAGCCCAGGACTTGTAGTTCGAGGCATTGAGCTTGGGGAAGGAGAGAGAGGACGAGTGGTTCGACATTGTAGCCATAGATAGAGTGGCAGAGGATGAAAGCGCAGATTGTGGCAAAAGGGAAAGATGTGAGAGTGTAGGGACAAGAAGTGGTCCGAAAATCGAAGAGATTGACTCTGTGGCGCGCTAGTAGTGTGTGTAGTTGACTGCTAGAGCGCGGGGCTCATAACCTATCAAAGGGCGACGCAGGGAGCAGTTGCACAGGACTAGCACTGAAGGACTGAATGCCACAAGAGGGGCTGAAGTCGAAGTGGGTCACAGAAGTGTAGATTAAAGGGTCGCTACAGAGCTCTTTATATACATGAGCAAGGGAAAGCATTCCCACGGCAGAACAATAGGTAAAAGAACAATAGAGTCCAAAAGGAGAACAAGGGCCACTTGGCCACAGGAACAATGGAACAAAAGAAGTGTGGCCGGAGCTGTGCTCCGGTCCGAATGCTCCGCAACTGATACAACCATGTGGTCACATGGTGTTGTGGCTCCCGCCACCGGGGGATCGTCCTAGGCCGACCAGGGGACTGTGGCAGAGCACATTGTGACAGGTCATAGGTGCCTGCCGGAGTAAGGTACTCCCGGACTTTGAGCCTGAGAAAGATCCAGAGAAGATTGAGTGAACAGAAGCCAACTTGATTGAAGCATGGGAGCAAGGTATCATGCTTCCAGGCACTCCTCAGCTGTTCATTGCAGCGGGACATACATACTCCCAGCTGTTCGCTGAGGAGGAGATCAAGAAGAAGGTTGTTAAGACCACTGAGGAGTCAGTACCGAAGCAGTACCATGAGTTTCTGAATATCTTCTCCAAGGAAGCATCAGAACAGTTACCCGAAAGGAAGCCATATGATCATGCAATTGAACTTGTGCCTGGCTACTCAACATTCCACTCGAAAGTGTATTTGCTATCGAACAATGAGCAGGAGGAACTGGACAAGTTCCTAAAGGAGCAACTGGCAAAGGGTTACATATGCGAGTTGAAGTCGCCCATCTTGTCCCCCTTCATCATCATCAAAAAGAAGGAAGGGATACTTTGACCTGTACAGGACTACTGCCGGTTGAATGCAATCACCATCAAAAATCACTATCCGCTGCCGCTGATCGCCGAGATGGTCGACAAGCTCTGAGGCGCTATGCTCTTCACAAAGTTCGACGTCAGATGGGGATACAACAATGTCCGGATCAAAGCTGGTGACAAATGGAAGGCTGCCTTTGTAACTAACTGAGGGCTGTACAAACCCTTGGTGATGTTCTTTGGCCTCACCAATTCTCCTGCGACCTTCCAAGCCATGATGAATGCCATCTTCCATGATCTCATCATTGGTGGAAAGACCCTCGTATACCTGGATGACATACTTGTCTTCTCCACCAATAAGGAGGAGCACGAAAGGGTCACACATGAGGCTTTGTGATGCCTTCAGGATAATAATCTGTTCCTGAAGCCTGAAAAGTGCAAATGGGATGTTTCCAAAGTCGACTACGTCAGCTATGTGTTTGGTGGTGATGAGGTAGTGATGGACCCCATGAAGCTAAAAGGAATTAATGAGTGACCGGTACCCCGGAACCAAAAAGATGTCCAGAAGTTCTAGGGGTTCCCCAACTTCTACCATCACTTCATTAAGGACTTTGCTAAGATCTCGTAACCACTCAACTGACTCACAGGGAACAACCCCTGGCATTGGGGTGAAGAGGAACAGCACGCATTTGATGAGCTCAAACGGCTTTTTGGCACAACCCCTGTTCTGGTGCTGTATGACCCTAATCAGGAAACACGCATTGAGGTTGATGCCTCAGGGTATGCCACTGGTGGTGTGCTGATGCAGAAGCAGGACAATGGCAAATGGCATCCGGTCACCTTCAGATCTCATGCTATGGACCCTGCCCAGCATAACTACGAGATCTACGATAAGGAGATGCTCACAATCATTGAAGCGCTGGATGATTGGCGCCACTATCTTGAGGGACTTCCCACTCAGTTCGAGATCGTAACCAATCATAAGAACCTCGAGTACTGGCGCACATTACAGCACCTCACGCGTCATCAAGCACGATGGTCGCTGTTCCTCACCTGCTTCGATTTCCGCATCACGCATAAGGCCGGAACATCAAATGGAAAGGCTGATGCCCTGTCACGCTGATCAGACCACCAGGTCAGCGATGAGGATGACAACACTGATCAGATTGTCCTCAAACAAGAGCGCTTCCACATTGCCACCATGCAACGTGGTCATGCCTCGGTGACAGCCGATCAGTCGCTTCTAAGACATATCAGGGAATGTTCGGAGAAGGATCGGGTAGTGGCTGAGGCACTTGAGAAGGTACAGAACCTCGGGCCGCCCCGGCTGCAGAAGGGCTTTGAGGAGTGGAATGCTGAACAAGGACTTCTGTTGTTTCGTGGGTGCATATATGTCCCAAAGAAAACAGAGCTCTGGCAGGATATCATCAAGATTCACCACAACTCGCCGATCGCCGGCCATGGCGGTTGTGCCAAAACCCTCGAGCTTGTGTCGCGAAACTAGTGGTGGCCAGGAGTGTCCAAATTCATCAATGAGTATGTAAGCATCTGCGACATGTGCAACCATACCAAGACATTCCCAGCCAAACCCCAGGGTCCGCTGAAGCCAAATGAGATCCCCGAACACCCGTGGCAGATCATCACCACTGATATGATTGTTGGCCTGCTGAAGTCTGATGGATTCGACTTGATCCTAGTCACCGCCAACTGCTTTACTAAGCAGGTCCACTTCTCAGCCTGTCATGAGACCCTGACGGCAGAAGGTGTGGCTGATTTGTATATCTGCAATGTGTTCAAACATCATGGGGCCCCGGCCAAAGTTATATCAGACCGTGGTCCCCAGTTCACGTTGAAGTATCTCCATGCAGTGTACAAGGGACTTGGTATTGAGCCAATGCTATTTATAGTGTTCCATCCCCAGATGGACAGCCAGACCGAGCACTGGAATCAGGGGATTGAACAATACCTGCGCACTTTCACGAGTCACAGGCAGGATGATTGGACAAAACAGCTGCTGCTTGCCAAGTTCACATTGAACAATAGAGTTCACTCGGCAACCGGGCACTCCCCCTTCTTTCTGAATCAGGCTTACCACCCTGAAATCCAAGTGCAGATCAATCTGATGTCCACGATACCTGCGGCTACAGATCGGCTTAAAATCCTGAAGGAGATCTGCGATGATACGCGCTCCGCACTTGAGCTGTTAGCCGAGCGAATAAAGGTGTACTACAATAAACACGTGCAAGAGACACCGGTCTTTGCACCGGGGGACAAGGTCTGGCTTGATGCTTGGAACCTTAAGCTGAAACAGCTGAGCAAGAAGCTCAGTCCCAAGCACCTCAGGCCATATGCCATGCGGCAAAAACTCAGAGACTTAGATTACAAATTGGTCCTGCCGAAGTTGATGCCAGTGCACCTGGTGTTTCATGTCTCCTTGCTGAGCAAGTACACACATAGTGACATCCCAGGCCAGGAGCTGGAGGAGCCATCTGCCATTGAGGTTGAGGGTGACGAGAAATATGAGGTTGAGCGGATCAAGAATTCCAGGATCTTCCAGCATTAGCTACAGTACCTCGTCAATTGGAAGGGTCATGATGACTCGCATACATTATGGGAACTGGTGTGCAATGTTGCAAATGTGCCGGCCCTCATAGCTGATTTCCACCAGAAGAACCCAAATGCCCCTCATCGCCTCAATGCCGCTATCTTTGGTGGTCTCAACTTCCAGCCAATACCTTCGCCGCTAACTGAAGCACACTACCACTCTAGGTGGGAGATGGGCAAGGGTGCCTCACATGAGGTCATGCACTGTTGAAGGGGGGGGGTAATGTTATGAGTTGACATGGTGTCTAGCTGTTTTTTAATTCTTTCCTTTCTGCGGGCTCAAACCCGCAACCTCTGTACTATACACTCGAACAGACAAGTCCTTATCTACTGTACAATTAAATTAGATGGGATGGCAGTGCATGGCACAGCCCAGGCTCCACTGACACAGCCTTTCTGACTCACCAGGCTACTACCTCAGTGGCTGTGACATAGCAATGCTGTGCACAGACCAGCTGTGCATGGACCAGTGTACACAGCCTGCCCTTAACTTCTCATGTATATAAGCTGGCCTCTGCTGCCCTAGGGACCTCAGTTTTAACCTCTTGTTCCTAGGTCAGTAAGCCCCTATATTCCTTTTACTTACCTTTGCTAACTTAATACATTTACTTGTCCCTAGCCTTAGGTTTGAGTATGCTCACCATTGCTTTGGTCAACCCAGTCGAACATCCCCAGCCTTTAGGTTTGTTCCTCCTTGTTGCTAAACACGACCATACAGATACCGTGGTCCATGCGTAGCCGGTACTTGTATAACTAGTTGTACCATTAGTCAGTCGAACCCTAAGTTCGACCTGGTTATTCATTTAAGTCTCTGCTCCTCCTCGCTTGGGGTAGTGATCATTCTCGACTTCCTCACTCGATCTTCAGGACGACGTACTGTCCATAAGTCCTCGCTTGTCGTCTACGAGTCAGGCATCGATATAGGAGTATAGACCATTGTATCAAAAGGTCGAACTTTCTAAGCTACATTCCTAGTTTTACCTAGTCAAACATCTCATCCACCATTACGTCGAACAACACAGTCAACCCAGTTCCTTTGGGACTACCAGCCCTCACAGGATCACCGCTCCTCCAATATGACTGAGCAGATCGCTGCTTCGTCACCTCCACAAAAAGGGCTCCCATCTACCCTCGAGGCGGCACCTGGTGTCATGCAACCGGTCCACACCTGCAGGTCGTCGCCCATCAAGAACTCGTTAGCTACTACCAGAGACACCCACCCGCTCACCCAGAAGACGTATTCACCATCCTACAGATCGATGTCGAACCTATACAAATAGCAGAAAGTGCGCAGTCACCCATCAACAAACAACCACTCGAACTCCCTGAAGTTCAGTATGTCCCCATCGAGATCCCAGACATCGAACTACCACCAGCTCCACCCGCATCAACCAATGCACCGGCTGAAGTCCCTATGGCAACATTCACTCAAGAAGACATCGATCAGCGCATCGCTGTTGCCCTCGCAGCATACCAATCCCAGCAGTCAATGGCCAACCGACCCCTTTGCCTCGACATCCCCGCTCCTGAACCCTTCAGCGGAAAGGCAGAGGACCTCAGACGCTTCATCCAATGCATCCTCTCCTACTTCGTCGCCACCAACAACACCCGACTCAGCGATGAAGCAAAGATCGCCTTCACTGTAGTGCTGATGAGGAAGGATCTGGGGAAAACATGGGTGGACGCGTATTACAAAAAGTCGGCAGGGGGAGTCCAGGTCTATTCCACTTGGGCAGACTTCGTTGCCGCTCTAGAAGAGGTGTTCCCTGAGCACGGAATGCGAATCAAGGCACATCAAATCCTGATGAAACTGCCCGAACGACAGAAGGATAGGAAGACAGCACTCTCCCTCGGTAACTACGTCACCCACTTCGAGCAGCTAGCATCAAAGGCTCAGCTCAAGGACGCCGAGGTCAATGGCACCAACCGCGTTGAGAACAACTACCACACTCTCCACACCAACTTTGTCAAAGGACTCCCGAAGGAGCTGTATTTTGCGCTCGCAACAAGGGTCGCTAGGGATTGACCCAACACCATGAAAGCCTGGTATGACGAAGTACGAAACACTGACGCAGCCAAGCAGGGGGCTCTCGTCATCACAGACACCAGGGACTATGGCGAACCAATGGATATCGACGCCGCTGCCGTCGCATCAACCTTTACCTCCACATCGGGAGGAAGGAAGTGGGAACTGGGAGCTGTTCTCAATGAGGCTGATTGGAAGCTCCACAGGGACGGGAACCTGTGCTTCTACTGCCACATCAAGGGCCACAGTGCCAAGGACTGCCGCAAGAAAGTGGCTGCACGACAAGGGGGTGGGAGACCGAACCAGGGAGGATCTGGGAAGGACGACTTCCGCGCCAGAATCAAGACACTCTCCGCCGACGAGAAGCGGGAGCTGTACGAAGAACTTACAATGGAGGATTTTTGAAGGGGCAGGGTGAGCCGACGCAACCACTGCCCGTATCCGTTTCACTGTCCCGTGTAATTCTAGTAGTCCGAAATGAATGCGCTCTGCACATTTCGATTACTGTGGGACGAAAAGACATCGAGGCGCGCACTTTCATCAATAGCGGCGCAACAGGAATCTTCATCAGCCCGAGATTCGTCCAAGAGCATCGACTTCGGACAGAACCTCTTCCCCGACCCATCCCCGTCTTCAACGTGGATGGAACTCCAAACAAAGAAGCACTCATCATGCAAAGAGCTCTCTTATCTTACAAGATAAGCGGAGAACCCCGATTTGTCAAAGCTTACGTCACCAGCATCGGCAAGGAAGACATCATCTTCGGCCATACCTGGCTCAAGCTCGAAAACCCCAAGATAGACTGGAAAACCGGACAAGTTGAGCTAAACCACCGGTGGACGAAAGACGAGACCAGGGCCTGGAAGATGGACCTGTACCAAAGGCGAGTGGCTCGGCTAGAACTGAAGAAGGCCGTAACTACCCCACTCCCAGAACCAACAGAGGACGAATTCGTCGTCATCTCCACCTCGGAACACACAACCCTTCCCAAATGAAAGACTGGCAGCGCAGCAGGATATGACATCTCTGCTGTGCATCAACTCATCATCCCTGCCCGACGACGAGGCCTGGTTAGCACCGATCTTATCATGGCTATCCCCAAAGGACACTACAGAAGAATCGCACCTCGGTCCAGTCTAGCACTAAAGGAAACCGATGTCGCTGCAGGAGTAATCGACTCTGATTACCGGGGCAAGGTCTCAGTCCTGCTGGTCAACAACTCTGACCTCCCATTCACCGTCAAAGCCGGCGACCGAGTTGCTCAGCTCATCCTTGAAAGGATAAGCACCTCATCAGTAACACTAACCGACCACACTGACAAAACAGAACACGGGGAGGATGGGTTTGGGTCAACAGGTATTGCGTCCATCGAAGAACAAGCAGAGGACATCGACAACGATGAGTTCATCATTTCCTACTTATCAGGAACACCAATGATCACCAAGTACGAGAAACAGGAATCCCTAGCAGTAAGGGATGTTCCGCTCAAGGAACGACTCCCTGAACTCTTGTCCGGCTACAAACGACTCCACAACAGCATGATCTGGAAGATCCACCACAACATTAGGCGAGTCACAACATCCACCAAACTTGCGGCCTCGAATGCCCAAGGCAAGACAGAAAAAACGCTACCACAGATGATACCGTCCTACCTGCACAATCTCCTCCCCGTCTTCGACAAAGGCACCACTGCGTGACTTCCGGACCACACCGAATATGACCACGAAATCAACCTCAAGGAGGGTTTCATGGACATGATGCAACAGGTTTACCCGCTCAACCCACAACAGCGAAAGGAACTCGACAAGTTTCTCGAGGAGAACCTGAGTAAAGGGTACATTCGCCCTTCGAAATCCCTGTTGGCGAGTCCATTCTTCTTTGTTGGTAAAAAGGACGGTTCACTACGCCCCTGTCAAGACCGGCTACTCAACGAGAACACGGTCAAAGATCGATACCCACTCCCTCTTATATCGGACCTCCTCGACAAATTGAAGCACGCCAAGGTGTTCACGAAGATGGACCTCCACGCCGGATACAACAACGTCCGAATCAAGAAAGGGGACGAATGGAAGGCAGCATTCATTGTACCAGGAACTGATGGCAAACTGCCGCAGTTGTACGAACCAACGGTGATGTTCTTTGGGCTGTGTAATTCCCCCGCTATGTTCCAGCGGATGATGAACACTATATTCACAGACATGCTTCAAGAAGGCTGGCTCTGCATCTACATGGACGTCATCCTGATCTTTTCCCAGGACAAGGCAGAACACAAGGAACAAACACGACGTTATCGAACGACTTCGACAACACAATCTCTACCTCAAACCGGAGAAATGCGCCTTTGATGTCACCAAAGTCGAATTCCTCGGCATGATCATCCACCCTGGAGAAATCACAATGGACCCTGTCAAACTAGCTGGCATCGCAGACTGGCCAGTGCCATCCAACCTCAGGCAAGTACGCGCCTTCATTGGATTTGGAAACTTTTACCGCTGGTTTATCAAAGGCTTCTCGGACAAAGCGCAACCGCTGGTCGCTCTCACCCGGAAGGACGTCGCCTGGACCTGGGGATCTGACCAACAGAAAGCCTTCGAGACCCTCAAGAAGGCATTCCTAGAAGAACCAGTACTATGCATGCCAGATCCCGACCGACCCTTCACTATCGAAACTGACGCTTCCAAGTTTGCAACGGGAGCGGTACTATGCCAATGCGATGACAACGGTGACTGGCATCCTTGCGGATACCTCTCTCAAAGCTTCAATGCGGCCGAGAGAAACTACAACATCTACAACAGGGAGTTATATGCGGTCATTCGCACACTAGATGAGTGGAGGCACTACCTCATCGGTAGCCCATACCCAGTGACAATTCTCAGCGACCACAAGAATCTCACATATTGGAAGTAGGCCAAAGACATGAACCGACGACAAGCACGCTGGGCAAGTAAACTGACCGAATTTGACTTCTGCCTGGTACACGTTCCTAATACCCAAATGGTGCAAAGCGACTCTCTCTCCCGCCAACCCGACCATGGTGATGGCTCTAATGACAACACCGACATCATCATGCTCCCACCTGAAGTATGGGTCGCTGCCATCGACATTGACACACGTGATACCATCCTTTCATTCAAAGACGACCCCATAATGAAGGAAGGCCTCACTGTGGCACACACTGGAGGGACCCCATGCACCAGAACAGACTGGTCCATCGACGATAACCTCTTTTTGTACCAGGATCGGGTCTATGTACCCCCAGATGAGTCTCTTCGCAAATGTCTCATCTTCCACTATCACGACCTCCCCTCTGCAGGACACCCTGGTGTTCAGAAAACCCTCCTCGGCTTGCACCGCAACTACTGGTGGCCGAGCATGGCCTAGTTTGTCGCTCGCTATGTTAACGGCTATGGCATCTGCCAGCAAATGAAAGCTAACACACATCCAGCCCATCCACCCATCACCCCCATCTGACCACGCGCAAACACCAAGCCCTTCAGCACATTTTCATGTGATTACATCACTGACTTGCCACCGTCCAACAGCTTTGATTCAATTTTGGTTGTAGTGGACCACGACCTTACGAAGGGGGTAATTTTCATCTTATGCAACAAAACAATTGATGCTCTTGGAACGGCAGACGCAATGTATCGAGAGGTCTACAAGTGGTTTGGACTCCCAGACAAGATCATCAGCGACCGAGGACCGCAATAATTTGCGTCCAAAGTCTTCCAGGAACTTTGCAAAATGACTGGGATTCAATCGGCCATGAGTACGGCATTCCATCTGCAGACCGATGGCGAGACAGAACGAGTAAACCAAGAGCTGGAGATCTACCTCCGCTGCTTCACTGCCAATGATCCGGATAAGTGGGCTGACCATCTTCACACTGTGCAATTTGCTCACAACTCCCGCGAGCATTCCACGACGAAGACGTCCCCATTCAAACTCATGATGGGATACGAACCTCGTGGAATACCCGCCACGCACCCTGGATCAAACATGCCACAAGCAGCTTATCGCCTTAAGGACTTGCAAAACATCCGTGAGGAAGCACATGCAGCAATGGAGATGGTCCAGAATGTCTTGGCCAAGAGAGTAAAAAGGAAGGGGGGTTCCTTCCATAAAGGTCAGCTGGTATGGCTAGACTCCCAGAACTTGAAGCTGCCATACCTGTCCAGGAAACTAGCCCCAAGGCGAGAAGGGCCGTTCAAAGTCCTAGACAAGATCGGAATGGTCGCGTACAAGCTAGACCTCCCTAGCACCTGGCGAGTCCACCCCGTTTTCCACAAATGGCTTCTATCTCCCTATTCAGAAATGGAGATCCATGGTCCAAACTACACGAGGCCACCCCCTGACCATATTGAAGGCAAAGATAACTATGAATTCGAAGCCATCATCGGACACCGAGAGAACAAGAGGATGCGGCGCCGCAAATATCGCGTCAGGTGGAAGGGTTACTCAGCTGCAGATGACTCATGGGAACCCGAAGCAAACCTGACAGGGACTGCGGATGAAGTGCTAACAGAGTATAAGAAGAGGAAAAACTTGAACCGAGCCGATAGCAGCTCAACCCAGTTGCTACACCCCTACTTGTACCAACATGTCCTCCACCCTCCCGTTCCTCGACCAGTTCAATGCCCCCTCAACCGAGGGTGGAAAGAGGATTTCGATCTACACCCCTAAGCACACCCATGTTGGCGATAGCACTTTGCTGACACTACTTCTCAGTAAGTCCACCGACGTCTTCAATAAACTCAAAACCCACCACCCCGAGGCAACCAATGCCACTGACTGCACTGCACTAGAAGCGTACCTCTCTGCCCGCCGCAAATACGATGAGGCTGTCAAGGCAGCCGATGAGGCCATCGACCACCACAAGTGGCTTCTACGTCAACAGGACAACTGTGTCCTCACTGAGCTCATTCGACTCGACAATCTGAAAGTTGCCCATCGCTTTCAACCGCTCCTACCGTGCAGCATCCGGGCGCGACACAACAAATTCATCCCGTGCACCATCCCCAACGTGTACCTACCCCTACCCACACCCCTACCGACGTCTGCCTTCAGGCGCCCCCCAATCCCGTCCCCTTTTCTCCAAGCAACGCCGCGGAGCACTACCATCCCGGCTGACTGGCAACCCAACCCTGGTTGGACCCCGAAGGGAAGCTGTAGGCGATGCAGATCGTCTCGACACTGGATATGGGACTGTCCAGACATACGATGCGCAAGATGCGGAAAAGAAGCCCCTGGACACCTGGAGCGAGAATGCGGAACCAGGCCGATGAAGTGACACGTATCCGCACCACCTGAAGAACCTGCGCGACGCGTGGGGGTGGTCATCGACAATGTGTTCCTCGAAGGGATCATCAATGAGGCAAAGGTGAGGAAGGAAAGAGAGAGGCAGA